ACATCCAAGACACGTAGTACCATGATAGATTCGGAGACATCTGTAAGAACAGATATGTCATCTCCTCTATCGCCGTTTTTTGCGCCACAAAGTCAGTGAATATTCCTCTAACTTTCGTCTCTTCTTGATAATTGAAGAGGAAGAGTTTCTAGATAGTCCTTCTTGGTAATCTCTATAAAGTCCGGCCGATCAAAAATGTTGTCGTCCTAGTCCTGAACTGTCACTCAACATCCCGGACACTGGGACATCCGGGAACATCACTATCCTTAGGTTTTCAGCCTCTTTTATTACGTATTTCTCTTTTCACGTAGTTCGAAGATATCACAGAATCAGCTGATAATCAAGCGGCTAGTCGATTGTTGTCGATCCTTCGTCGAAAACACATCGTCAAAGTTCGCAACCGTCACTGGGGAGTTAACAATTTCCCCCGCTACGACTCTAATTCACGACTCCTTTGCACAACATATTTTCCATGATCTTGGGGCCGCGATGAATAGAGCACATTTCATGTAGTGGACTGAACGCTGCCATGGCAGACGAAAGGCCAGAAGGTCTCGCTGTCTGCACAAAATCCAACAATCTGAGAGAGGGAGAATCCTCTCCTAATAATGACCGTTGTCGCTTCTTCTTCTTTAGGATTCTTCAGAATAATTTAACCTGAACTCGAGATCCCAATCCAAAGTCGATTTAGTCTACAATAGCAATTCGACCGCAATTCTGTGGCCAGGCCTCAGACCTATTGGTGTAGTCGCCTGGGAGTGGGGACACTAGCCTTAGGAGATCGGGCTTCCGATTTCCCGTCTCGAATCATCCTTATTTTTCTCTATATCCATAGTTAAATTAATTTATTATGTCATTTGAGTTAATTTATACAAGTTAAATACAATACAAGTTAAATATATTGAATAATATATCGGTGGATTATCTAACAAGAGAAGAAAAGACAAATCTTTCTCAAGTTATATATAGTTATATATAGTTCAACATAAACTGTTATATTATAGATTAAAAAATATGAACACCTTAATTTTATTTTTTGTTTTAAATAAATCGTATCAATTATTTTACCGATTTCTGCTGTTGTTTATATCATTAAACTTTAATTTCTTCAAATAATTTAATAAGATGTTGGTAAATGTTGTTGATAATAAACAACGAAAAACAGTTTCAATAAAAATAATAAAAAATGATGTCAAGAATGAATAATACAATAATTTTATCATAGTTCTAATAAATAATACTGTTTGTAAAAATTTTATGTCATTATATATTGATACTAATATGTGAAATTAAATTTCGTATTATACTATCTTGATCAAAAAGTTCCCGGAATTCATTCAGAAAATTCAAAATACAAGTTTTATTCAAAAGTGATATTGTCCCCTTCAAAGTACTCCCCATCGACTGCACTTATGCCAGCGCTTGATTCAGCTCTCGAAACATTTCTGGAACTATTGTCGGTATAGCTAGTATCAGAGCCGTCTTCGATTTTTCCATTACCTCCTTTCGGCTGTTAAAACGCGTTCCTCGTAATGATTTTTTGACTCGATCGAACAGAAAAAAATCGCAAGGAGCCATATCAGATGAATTTGATGGCTGTTGGATGATATTCGTTTCTTGGTCAAAAATTCACGGATAATGATGGCACTGTGCGACGGTGCGTTATCATGGTGCAAAATCTACGAGTTGTTTGCTCACAAATCCTTTCTTTTTTGGCGAACTGCTTCACGCAAATGTCTCATAATGCCCAAATAATACTCCTTATTAACTGTCTGATCTTCTGGCAAAAATTCGTGATGTACAGTACCGTTGTAATCCATGAAATCTTCGACGAACTCACGACCACTTTTGAAGCGTTCATGCCACTCATAAACGGCTGTTTTCTTTATCATTGCCGAAACAGTTTCCCAACATTTCCAAGGTTTTCACACCATTGAATCCATTTTTAACGCAAAATTTAATACAACTCGTTGTTGCAAATTCAACTTCATTTTTAAAACTGTAAAAAATCGAAAATACGTGCAGAGGTAGATGTACTCAAGACGGCGTAACTTTTATAAATGTCAAGCTATGGTGATAAAATTTGGTGGGAATGTCAATGATAGATGTGGCAACCTAACCAAAAAAACAGAACTCAAATCAGCTGATTCAGAGCATCACCTGGTGATAATTCCGGGAACTTTTTCAAGGTGGTATTTTAAATATAATATCATGATATTATGTAAATTATACGAGTGCAAATCAATAAGTTCTTAGAAAATCTGTCAGAGGACACAGTGTCATGTCACATTACTTTTTGACAAGTAGCATCTCTCAACTGATTACTCAAATTTTGAACGGAATTCATCGTTTTATTTCTGAAAACGATTAAAGCGAACAATCTTTGTATTTTTTGCAAAATGGAAAAAAACGAGTTTCGTGCAGTGATCAAACATCTACATATGAAAGATTTAATGCCGAAAGAAATCAAAGCCGAGTTGGATAATGTTCATAGCACATCTACACCAGCGTTTGCAACTATATATAATTGGGTGAATGAATTTAAACGGTCGTATATTCATATGTGATGCATCTCGTCCGGGACATCCAATTGGAGAAATCATCGATGCTAGAAATCATCGATAAAATCCACGATATTGTTTTGACAATATTGTTTTGACTGATCGACAAATGAAAGTACGCGAGCTTGTTGAGGCCACATATCACATAGCACAAGATTTCAATTTTGCACGAATAATTGGGTATGAAAAAGCTATCGACAAGATGGGTGCCGCGTTTGTGGACTATAAGCGCGACCGTGTGACGATTTCAGAACAATGTTTGGAGATTTTCAACGTAATCCAAATGAATTTCTGTGTCGATTCATTTGTAGACAAAACATGGATCCATTACTTCACATCCGAGACGAAGGAACAATCAAAATAATGGACTTCATCGGGTGAACCAGCTCCAAAAGAAGATCGTAAAGTCGGCCAGAAAGGTGATGCCCACAGTTTTTTGGAATGCACGCGGTATATTTCATATCGATTATCTTTCGTCGAAGCAAACGATCAATGGCGATTATTACGCAGCTTTATTGGACCGTTTCAACAACATTTTAAAGAAAAAACGTTTCTATTTGGCGAAGAAGAAAGTGCTCTTCCATCAAGACAATGCACGGGTTCACACGTGCCCGGCACTGATGGCCAAATTCAACGAATTCCACTACGAAGTGCTTCCCCATCTAGCATATTCGCCAGATTTAGCCCTCTATTCCCTATTTCCAAACCTGAAGAAATGGTTCGGAGAAAAGAGATTCACCGTCAGATAGCAGCTCATCGCCGAAAAGGCTTTTGAAGGGTTAGACAAATCATATTATTCGAACAATTTAAAAAAGTTGAAGAATCATTGGATCAAGTATATCGAGCTGAAAGGAGATAATGTTGAGAAATAAAAATGAATCGATCAAAAAAAATGTGTTTTACTATGTTTTTCTAAAAACTATTGACTTGCCTTCGTATATTAATAATACTTTCTTTTTGACACTGTGTATGCGTTACATATAGTTTCGAAGTAAGCAAATCTGATAATCATGATGAATGACATCTGGATGTGATATGTACAATTAGAGGAAATTAATTTCAAACAGGAAGGCATCAATGACGCTTACTATACATAAATGCGCGCCGCTGATTCGCAAGTTGCGGAAATAGGCGTTAGGCATAATGCGCGCGGCTGTAGGAACATAGTTCAAGTCGCGTTACGGATACACGCGGATCGCGTATTGCGCCTTTACTATCGGCTAGAGTATTTCCTTGCAGAAGTGCAACGACTACCAAGAACACTCGGCAGAGACGGAGAGTACTCCATTCCGATTTTCTTATTTTTGCCGGAAAAATGTGACTCGGTAACTAAAGGCCAAGAACGTTTGATAAGCAGAATACACTCTACTCCCTTGGCATCTACTCATTGCATCACTGGATGGACGACAGTAAGAGATTTCTTCTCTATTGAGAAAGTGGAAACAAAATACTCTTTACCCTCCTTTCTTGCTACTAGTGTCTCAGAAAAACGGATAGAAATCAGAAATCGTACTCGTCAGCGGATCGAAAATGAGCTCAAGATCGGAGTCAAGATTGAAATTATAAAGAAATATGTTTTATAGAGAAATTGAGTATTTTATTTCTTATTGTCGGTACTTTTTATAACAGCTCGCTTTTTGCTGCCGGCCGGCATCTCCAACGCGCGGCGCAGAGCTCATGTGAAGAAAGATGCCGATGATACTCGAGTTCTGTTGAAAATACTCGGTATATTCGACATGCTGCTATCATCTGTGAATTATCCTTTGTTTTATTTAAAATAATTACGCATCTCATCGTCATGTGTGGGATTTCCTGCATATGACGGCACGTCGATTGGTGCCAAGTACGATGCATGTTTTTAGGGTGCATTATGTTCTTTAATTCTTCTAATAAATGATTATTTTGTCTATCTATTTACGTATTTTCGTTTCTTTTCTTTTTTCAATATTCATTTATATCTCTATGCTTTTCCTTTTGTGTTTATATTTTCCTTATCTATTTCCTTCCTTTTTTCTATATTTTTTTTTTTAATATTCTTCTCTTTTAATATTTCTTCTTCTGCCTAATCCTTTTCTTGATTCCCTGAAAAGAAAGTAGAGTGTATGTATTTCAATACTTTTTTATAAGGTCTGCTTTATAGTAATAATATTTGTGATATATTACTTCTTTATAATATTTTAATATATATGTAATTGTAATTTTAGTCAATTATCATAAAATTTTTAATTAGCTGTATATAAATTTAAAAAATTGCGCATGTGACAAGTTCGCGCTATAAAGATGTATTAACATATATTTACTTCACTGGATTATTCTCTAAAGAAAGTTTTGTTTATGAATTCTCACAAACTTCCGTTTATATAAATCTAAATTTTATTTAAAAAAAAGAAATTTGTAATTATCAAGCGTTTTGTTTAATCTTTATGATTTACATTTTAGATCAAAGGGAAAGATACAGCAATACCAGGGGATATACCAGGTATGGGAGGTGCAAGTACACCAGCTGATTCAGACTATGGAGATAGTGTATGTGTGGCTGGTACACTTGGAAGTAAAAGCGATTTTGATCGTAGGAAAAAGAAGAGGTATTTACAATAAGATTATAATTTATCATTTCAACAGATATTATGAATTTTATTAAGGCTCCTGACTAGTCTCCGCGACCACAGTGGATCGCAGTAACAATCAAAATCTGTACTTGTGTTCTTTATATCGTATCTGTATACAATTCCGATCAAAAATTTAGCAATACTTGCGATTTTTTCGCACTTCACGAAAAGTTAACTGTCTCGGTGAAAAAAATCGTGAAGTTTCCGTCCATGCATAATATAGCCCAATTAATGTGATAAAATGACCAAATTTCGAGTTCAAGGTCAATTCTAACAAGGTCCCAAGCATTTAAATTGTGTCATTTTTCACATTAATCGGATTGTATTTCTTGAGGCATACATCATAGGGTTAAACTATTCCATCAGCGATTAAAAAAATATACATACAATACCACATTTGAAATTCGGATTAAACAATTTTTTGCATCAAATTAAATATATATTAAGGAAAATCAAAACTTTGATTTAAAAATTCACTAGCGAACTCTAAATCTTAATATTTTTTTACTAGAAAAAGTAATAGAAAATGTAAAAAATTACTTTGATTAAGGTATTCATTCATCTTTCCTTCGAAACAAATCAATTTTGAAGACGAAGGAATTGAGTTAACCATCTAATATAATAATACAATTAATAATATAATATTAATAATAGAATAATCTAGAAAAATTTCATTGTCTTAAACCGTACCATTTTGAAGATACTTAATTCTAAATTTATAGAATTTTAAATTACAATTTGAAGATTTAATCTTATTTTGTAGTTATTCTCTTTTAATTTGAGATACTTACATAAGACAGCAATTTAAAAATCGTTATAATTATAAAGCAAACAATTACAAAATTGTATACGATCTAATGATACAAATTAATAATGATTGAAAAATCATTCTTCTAAGAACCGACGCAAATTATTGTTGCGAAACTTGAGATGGCAAGTATCTCAGCTTGAAAAACCGTGGACAGCCTTCCTATTGATATGCTTTCTTCATGATTGATGTCGGGGCCTGCCGTAGAAGCCTGCCCTAAAACGATCATTTATTCCCGATCCATTCGTGCATCATACGTCTACGTTTGGATTAATTAGAAAGTTGGAATCTTGTCCTTCCTAGTAGGTATTCGATCTTAAAGATCTTTTCCAGTAGGTGTTTCCTGGGGATCCTATGTTGCTTCAATGTGAAGGGGGGCCTGTCGGACAGACCCAACCTAGTGTAGCCAAGTCTGATTTCCTTCCACTCCTCCGACACTTCATCTGTGCTGCTTACCTTATTATGCTGATAATCAGATGCAAGAAAGAAAACTAACCTCCAGCGCTTTAATAAATGTTCTCATGGTCCCTGTCGCAGCTCTCAGGTATCCTCCCCTGAAGGCTCTTGAGCAGGTTCCTCTATTTTCTCCACTCTTGGCCATCAGATAATCGCAGTTTGTCAACTTTGATAATAATATCATTTTGTAGTCAGGGCAACCCTGGGTTTTATTCCCCAGTTCCTGCCCAGTTCCTGATTCTTTTACAAGCTCATAGAGATATAGAATTTTTTCCTCCTATTTTTGAAGTATGTTTTCCAGCTCAGCTTAAGATCCAGATGTACTCCTAGATACCGAGCTTCACCGAGCTAGTATAGTTTATTGCTTTGCCCCAAAGCTTCAAAGGCTCTATTTGTTCAGGCTTGTATTTCCTGGTGAAAACCATGGCCGGGGTTTTTTCTGGATTTATCATCAGTTCTCTTGTCTTACACCAGTTTTACATAATCATCAAGGCGCTTCATCCATGCGTTCCTTAATAGTCGTAAGAAAGTTGCCTCAGGTAACTGTGGCTACGTAGCTTATCTACGTAGCCATAGATCTGAAAGCCAGATTCTCCCAGCTTTGTGAGGAGCTCGTCATCAAACATCATAAGAGGAGAGAGAATTCTCCCCCTGCGGGCAGCCTATCATCGGACGCCCCTCAATGGTGATATTGCCTAACTGACAATCAGTTTTCTGCCCTCCAACATGCTTTGAGTCCAGTCTACAAGTGCGTTTGGAATTTTGTGTCTTATCATGGTATCTTATCCTTTGCCGACGAGATTAAGATGCTGTCAAAAGCCTCTTCAATGTTGGTGAAGACACCTGACGCGTATCTCCTCGCGGCCAGCTGAGTCTCGACCCCGCTCACTAGGTGGTGCAGGATCGTATCTGTAGATCTGACATATGTGTACTCCTCTTCGTAAGCGTACTGATTCAGCCGAATAAGAACGGCGTTGTTCTTCAGATACTTATCCATCAGTCTCTCCAGTCTCTTCAATGAAAGAAGTAAGACTAATAAGTCTCTCTCTTCTGTAGTCTTTAGCACAAAGGCTCTGTGACCTTTTCTCTCTGGCTTGGTTATAAACATCACTCTGGTATCACTCCATAGGTGCCTAAGGATCTCAAGTATCTCAAAATTAGGACTATATTAATCCTTTGTTGGATGGGGTCCCCATGCTGTCTCTGAGCAATACTGGGTATATGCCATTCGGTCCCGGTATATCCCAACTTGTAAGGTTCGAAGGTCTTTATGGCCCTTTCGACTCTAACAGGTGATATCACTTTTATTGCCAATGACCATTCCCTGAGCTTCCCAGGATTGCTTTGTTCCTTAATGAGTACAGTAGATGTCTTTCTGAACGCCAGGAAAGTGAATAGACATTAGATGTTTGAAGGTTTTATCTATTATTTCGATGTGGTTTCCATTCGGAAGCTTTAAGCAGTTCAGATAGGAAGTGTTGTCTTTGCTGAGGATTTTGTTTAGCCTGGATGCTTCAAGAGCACTCTCAATGCTTTTACAAAAATCACACCTCCTTTTTTTTGTGATTTATCGCTTTGCTATAATAGCGTTGTGCTTGTTTGTAAGCTTCGCGAAAGCTTCTGTTGTTAAGTTTTTTCTTCTTGCTTTGTTTGTTGAAGATCTTTTTCTTCCGATCTATATTTCGAAAGGTTTTCACTCCATCATAACATCTTAGTTGATGTTTCGACCTTTTGGGATATTTTGCCTCATAAGACCTTTTTATCGCGTCATACTGAGCCGCGAATTCCAGATTCTCCCTAGAGTGAAATTTGGTTGGAACGTTCTTTAGAATGGCCTCAAGGTCCTTCCTATAGCCCTTCTAGTTTGTTATTCTGGGATTGTGTCCCCTAGAGGGGACACTGTCCATATGTTTAAGGGTGAATCTAACTCGCCTATGATCTGATCCTGATCTCTGGACATTCTCCCGTACCAGCCACTTTCTCGCTGCATATGGTTATATCGATCACCTCCTGTCTTCTGGAGTTCATGAAAATGGACTCAGATCCCCTGTTCAGGATGACCAAACCGGTGTCTATTATGAATTCAATTGGAGACTCTCCCCTCTCGAGTTTATATTTGTGTTTCCTCTATATGGAGTTTACATCACATTCCAAGAGAAGTTCGAGCCTCCGTTCCTTCGCATAAAACATTAGCTCTTCAATCTTTTTCTGTGATGGTGCTGCTTGTGAGTCGTAGGGCGGTTCAGGGTGAACCGATCCCACAGTACAATCCAAGTGGTTGTTCTTGTCCAGGTTCAAGTTGAACTTCAGTTATACCACGGATTGGTCTCCGTCCGAGCCTTGCATATGACTCCGCAGCTACTCAGTCCCTTGATAATTATTTAGGAGCAATAACTCCTGAATGAGTGCTATTGCTGTCATCTGCATCACAGTCATGCTTCTGACTAGAATCGAGGCGCCTTTGCTGTGGTGCAAGTTAATTTGTATTATAAGTATCGTGAGACTCGCGAAATCTAAGCGATTTCCTCCGTCCTTGTAGTTGTCCCCCCCCCCTCCCTTGTGTTCTTTGTTGAGCAGCTGCTCGAGCCCACAAAAAGGTTTAAAGCCGCTGATCTTGAGGAAAACGCCGTCAATCAGGGCAGTGAAGTGAGCTCTTAGCGTCCCTGCTTTTGTTCATCCTCACAACGATCCATTCCCTGACGCCCAAACCTGCGTTTTCTCTGACTTTTCAAGAAACTGTGACAGCCAAATCCGGCTCTTTCACATGTATCACCTGATGTATTACCACCCCTTGGGAAGGCCGGCACATGCAAAGTATATCCATCTATTATGTTAAATTAGCTTTTTAGCTAGGCCACCGATTATTGGTTGACGCAGTTAATGATAAACTGCACCATTCCTCTTCCAGCTTTTTAGCTAGGCCACCGATTGTTGGTTGACGCAGTTAATGATAACTGCACCATTCCTCTTCCAGGTTCCAGTAAAGGCGGATCCAAACCCCTCCTCGGGAAGATCGAGGATGCGCCGCATAATCAGTTTCCTGAACTCGTTCACCTCATTGGAATCTAACTTGTTTTCAGGATAGTCTTCCGCTACGAGGGCCACCCTGATAATCCTTTTTGTCGTTTGGGCATATGATCCTTGGTCGACAACCTTGGGTTTCTTCTCCGGGCGACTGTCTATTGGACTAAAGTTGCAGTGCTCCGGCTTTGTGCCGCAACACCACCTTTCTCCCCATCCGCTGAAACTTGGGCGCCTGTGGGAGTTGGAGTTCGAGTTGCTGCAGCCCGCTCTGTCTTCCTTTTGTAACGGCGTCTGGCAGCCACTGAAGCAAGGATGGGTCTTGGTTAAACCCTTCTTCGCTGTTATTCTTCTCCGATCATTCGCTTCTTTTAAGAAAGTCTGCACCTTGGAGGACTTAGTCTAAGTTGATTTGTTTATTTTCGATATCCATATAGTTCCACGCGCGATCTCGCGAATGCCCGGGGCTTGGCTTATTCCTGGAAGAACGGCATCGTTTGAGACGCAACTCCTCTTGCGTCATGTAGGCACAATAGCTCACATCCTAGCTTGGGAGGGTTCCTCTTAGTTGATCGCCCATGAGCGAATGGTACCGCAGGTAATCGTAAGCCCCCATCACCCACCATAGGAGCCTGCGATCTCCAGACATGCACTTCTCTGGTCGATATATACAGAAATTTGGCAAAAAGAC